ATCAATAAAGTAGTGGAAAATCTTTTCTCTTTTACCTGTTCCGTTCTGTGTGCACAAGACATGTCAACACTCCCACAGACAGTCTCACATGCTCTGCAGTCTTATTGATATTTAAAAAAAAAAAATGTCTGGTCCGGTTTTTAGATCTCCTAAAATGTCCGGGATTAAACTTTTGCTTTCGCTTTCTAAAGCTTCTATGCGTTTTTGCAGTACATTTTTACTTAAGCATACTTTTGCTTGGCTTCGCAGCTGACTGCGTTTGCACAATCGAGAGCAAGAGAAACAATAAAAATGTAATTTTTTATCTAAATGACTCAGAAACACTTTATTACACACTTGAAGTGGACGGAATGACTGGTCTAAACTGGCTGTAAAATACAGTTGAAGTCAGAATTATTAGCCCCCCTGAAATTTTAGCCCCCTTGATTTTTTTTTTTTTTTTTTTTTCGAAGAGAAGATTTGTTCAACACATTTCTAAACATAATGGTTTTAATAACTCATTTCTAATAACTGAGTTATTTTATCTTTGCCATAATGACAGTAAATAATATTTTAGCAGATATTTTTAAGACATTTTGACATTTAAAGGCTTAACTAGGTTAATGAGGTTAACTAGGCAGGTTATGGTAACTAGGCAAGTTATTGTATAATGATTGTTTGTTCTGTTGACTATCAAAAAAATAAATAGACTAAAGGGGGTAATAATTTTGTCCCTAAAATGATGTGTAAAAAATGTAAAACTGCTATTATTGTAGCTGAAATAAAACAAAAAAGACTATCTCTAGATGAAAAAAATATTATCAGAAACACTGTGAAAATTTCCTTGCTCTATTAAACATCATTTGGGAAATATTTACAAATGAATAAATAAATAAAAAGGGGGCTAATAATTCTGACTTCAACTGTATATGTACACCGTTAGTAATGGTAAATCAACGCATTTGCCTTATTTAAACAATCTACAAGTTTAGAGATACTGTCTTTTTTATTCCTTTTTCTGTCATTTATTTAATATTTTCTCATTATTTTATTAATGTGATGATGTTAATATATTACATAGGCTATTTTATATACATATCCAAAATGCTTTGGCATTCAAGTTTGCTATGTACTTGAAACGGAAAAAGCAGATTTTACCTTTCAATGGGTGCACATGGCTCCTGGATAGCATAAAAGTAAGAGAAATAGTGGATTTCTTTTTTTATTTTGAACAGTGTTCTTTTTTTACTTTAAGTGGTATGTATATGTTATGGGTAAATGTGTGTTTCAATGCAGCTACCACTGCAAGTATTTTTCAATTTCAATTTCAATTATTGTTAATAACAGTCTGGCTGTGTGATATAACTTCTTAAATAATATATTCCAAAAATAAAAAAATAAAAACCCATCGATTGAGATTTTTAAGGGCTATTGTAGTATGAATTATGGACCATGAGGCCAGAACATCCTGTTTTTCTATATATATTTATATAATTCTAGTCATTCTAGTCACAGATATATATTTATATCAAGTCCTGTCTCTATTTTTTTTATCTCTATTTTTTTCAGGGTCTTTTTGTTTCATTTTTCTTTTTTTTAATATATTTTTTACTATCAAATACTGTGAAATTATTTGGAAAATATTTGAAAAAATCCTAATAAATTTATTAATAACTTTGACCTCAACTGTAGATCTAACTGCTAACTGCTATTCCGGACTTGGAATGTTAATTATTCTCCCCCAATCAGATCATCAAACAACATGGAGTATGTGATCTTCTATGAAAGTACATACCCTGATCGTGTATGTCCCTTATTGTTGAAGACTTTAATCCCACGGACCAGACAGTGGTTGAAATATCTGCAGACTTCCACAGAATTACAGTGTCCTGAAAGCAGCAGCGAAGTCCAAAAAAAAGAAGTTTCCGGTCAGGGGTAAATATGACCTGTGAAAGGTTATCAGAGGAAAAAAATGAACACACTTTCCACTTTTTGTGCTTGAAATGTGTAGCATAGTCACCAAACGAGAATATAAAAGGAAACAGATTCTCACTCCTATGTGATTCTGCAATTTTTTTTCCGCAGTTTCAAAGAAAAAATAAAATTGCTGTGACCTGTATAATGATTACAGTCTGATCCAACATAATGATGTGCTGTGAAGAGCTGCTGATGGGACACATTAACACCATGGTCTGAGTGATTAGACCTCCTGCCGTTCTCATAACAATGTAACACGTCCAGCGAACATGCCGTTTCCTCAGATCTTGCCGCCTCAACAGGAAGACACAATGTCAACATGTCCTTTAAGATAGAGACAGGCTTTGCAGGCTTTCAAGAAGTTGAATGGGTTGCTTTAATATTATTATTATTATTATTATTATTATTATTATTATTATTATTATTATTATTATTATTTTATTTATTTATTTATTTATTTATTTATTTATTTATTTATTTATTTATTTATTTATTTATTTATTATATATTTAATATATTATTATTTTTTATATTATTATTATTATTATTATTGTTATTATTATTCTTATTATTTTTACAATTATTATTATTATTATTAGTAGTAGTAGTATTATTATTAATATTATTGTTATTATTAATATAAAATGCTTGACCTATTCTTGTCTAAAGTGCTAAAAGTCTTTATGGAAAAGAGATTTTAATTTTAATTTTAATTTTTTTTTATTTCATTTAATTTAATAAAAAAATAGATGTTCTCTGCATCTATGATTAGCATGTTGTTATTATTATTATTATTATTATTATTATTATTATTATTATTATTGTTGTTGTTGTTGTTGTTGTTGTTGTATTAATAATAATTATTATTATTATTATTATTATTATTATTATTATTATTATTATTATTATTAAATAGAAAACAGCTTTGGTTAAGCATCAACTTGTCTGCAAGGATTAATTTTGCGCATTTAAGAATAAGTATATTTTTTCTTATTTTATTGCATTAAATTTAACAAAAAAAAATTAAATAACTTTTAAAACGTTTATTTGCTTAAATTTTAAGTGCATAAAAATAAATCATTTAAAAAAATCATCCATGAGTGTCATACATTTGAATTAACTTAAATATGCTTTTAATTGCACTTGTGAATCAAACTTACTGTAACTAAACCCTGACCTTAATGTCACGGTAAACTAATGCATATCTCTCCAGAATTGTTATGTCTGAGTAGAAGAGGGTTAATCCAGAAACATGAAGCACATTTTCACCTTTAGTAACCCTTCACTCAGCAGAGATCTTTAATAAGCTGCAGCAAGAGGGGTCGCAGAGGTCAGAGGGCTGATGGGGATACAATGTCCTGTTTAAGACAAGAATCAAGCTTTGACCTAATGGAAAAGAGAGAAAATCAACCCAGGAGTGAACGAGAGGATTGGGGAGCATGAGGCTATTTGGAATGAAGACCCTTGGCCTTTAGCTTTAACCTGAGCTGAATGTAATCCTCTCCTGACTGCCCTTCTCTATTTTTCTTCTCTGCACTTTTTATCCTTATACAAACCCAAAGCTGTTTCTTGAGTGTTTTACAGAGTGTTTTTATTTATTTATTGCTTAACTGTAGCTTTTAATCATGATGAGTCAGGATTTTGCATGGGTAAAAATAGATGATTTATTAGATGTGGGTTAGAGTAAAAGTTATATTATTTATTTTATTCTATAAGGGACTGAAAACATTTTAAAAATAAAAAAATAATATATTGTCATTTATTTAAAAAAAAAATTAAAATGGTCAGAAGGAAATTGGTTAGTATAACAATGGTTTAGCACTTTTTACTCAAGATTTACTCAAACACACATGGAAAATCCAAAGAAACTAAAATTTTTCAAAGTGTATAATAAACATTATTATAATAAAAAATAAAAAATAAATAAAATAAAAGAGAGGGATGGATGGATGGATGGATGGATGGATGAATGGATTGATGGATTGATGGATGGATGGATGGATGGATGGATGGATGGATGGATGGATGGATGGATGAATGGATTGATGGATGGATGGATGGATGGATGGATGGATGGATGGATGGATGGATGGATGGATGGATGGATGGATGGATGGAAGAAGTTTAATTAGTAGTAAACACAAAAACTACAAGTTGAAAATCCAAAGAAACTCTTTTTTTCCCTCTATATGGGTGGTTGGAGCTCCTATTAAAAATAAAATTAATTAATTAAATTAAATTAAATTATGTAAAATTAAATTAAACCTTAATTTAGAAGTATAAAATAAATAAAATTCAAAATAAAATGATTTAAATTAAGTAAAATAGAAATAAATTAAATAATAAATGAAAACAAATTAAATTGGAATGTAATCAAATAAAATCATAATTTATAATAAAAAATAAAACAATTGAAATAAATTAGAATTTAGAAATAAATTTAGAAATTATGCCCTGTCCTGTCTTGACCAACAAAACATGCCATTTGAATAGGCTTGGCAGATTGCAGACTCACTGGCAGATTGGCTACTTTGGCAGATTCGTTTTAATATAAGCTGTTTTTATACAAACAAAAACCATTGAACTTCTGGAACTTAAAGGCTGCTTATCGATAGTAATAAACTAGTATAATGATAGTAATATATTTTATTAAATTTGGATAATTTTGTTTTAAACCATTTTAAGGTCAATTTAAATAGCCTTATTAAGCTTTTTATTTTTTTATTTATTTATTTATTTTTTTATTGTCTACAGAACAAAGCGCTTTTATACAATGACTTGCATAATAAACCTAGTCTTTAAATGTCACTTTAGGCTGAATACTAGTATCTTAAAAAATATCTAGTCAAATATTATGTACTGCCATCATGGCAAAGATAAGTTATTGGAAATGATTAATTAAAACTTTTATGCTTAGAAATGTGTTGAAAAAAATCTTCTTTCCATTATACAGAAATTGGGGAAAAAAATATATACAGGGGGCTAATAATTCTGTATTTAACTATGAGGAGTTCTCATTACTGTTTTTCTTCTTTTCTGTGCAGGGTATGGGGCCCTCCAGTATGCCGTCTGTACCCCTGATGGTGGGCTGTGGCATATCGTGTACGGCCCTGCTCATTCTGCTGCTCATCTACGCTGCCTTCTGGAGGTAAATTTAACCAACACAGATCTGCCATTGTTGCATGCCGCTTCCAGCCTCTGCTGTCCTCTATTTATAATAGGATATTAGCTTGCTATTTTCGCCCCATTCCCCTTGTTTACTTCCCCGCTGCTCTCCCAGGTACACTTACAACTTACAAGATTCATTTTTCAGACTGTAGCTTCCCACGTGCTGGGCTGCCCGGGCTGGGATGGAGCAGCTGGCATGGGGTAGAACTGGAGTGGGCCAAAACGGCAATTAGCAATAATTGGGAACAAATGAGGGATGGCGGGAGCCGCCTGTGGCAGGACAGGATTATGTGGAGAGCGCTAGTAAAGGCTAGCCTGGATGCTAACAGCTCAGGGTGGCAGATGGCCTGAGTTGGTCACGTGATCTGCTAACGCCACGTCCAGAAACTAGGCAACACTTAGTCAACTGCTTAGTCAAGCTTTTATCCTCTCAGAAGTCTGACACTGCGTTTTTACAAATGAAGCTGGACCTATTTTTTACTCTTATTTATGTTTTTTTTTTTTACTTTAAAAATATATTATACATTTAATTTATATTGCAATATATTGCATTTATTTGAGTCTAATATTATTAATTATTTATTTATTTGTATGGTGTACTAAAAGTTAGGCCTATAAAGAGTTCCCAGTGGTAAATTTATTTATTTATTTTATTTTATTTTATTTTTTATTTTATTTTATTTTATTTTATTTTATTTTATTTTATTTTATTTTATTTTATTTTATTTTTTTATTTATTTTATTTTTTTTATTCATTCAATCATTATTTATTTATTTATTTATACATTCACTTATTTTTTCATTCATTAAATCATTCATTTATTCATTTATTTGTTAGTTTGTTTGTTCGTTCATTTCGTTTGTTCATCCATCCGTCCGTTCTTTCGTTCTTTTGTTCGTCCGTTCATCATTCAATCATTCATTCATTCATTTATTGTTTTTTTTGTTCGTTCATTCATTTGTTTGTTTTTTGGCTTTCTTTTTCATGCTTTTTAATATTTGTTAATATTATATGTGTCCAGTTTTTATTAAGTTACCTACTGTACCGCAGTAAACTCACCTCTGGATTTTAGGGCTAGCACGATGGATACAGCTCGAGCCACTTCTGAACTTTTATTGCTTACACATGTTCATCCACAAACTAGGCAGCCTGAGTATTGAGTACGCTACACCAGTCTTTCAAAAAGACATTCTTTCTTGTTTAATTAAACAGTTGCTAGGTTATAAACTGGCATTAACTGGCACCAAATATTGAAAGTAAAAATGGAATTTGCTGCGATAAGAGAAGCTGTGTGAATCTTTTCTTCATTTGATAAATGACTTGCGCCTCAGAAGGCAATCCTGACACGCAGTGAACAGGCAGTGAAAACGCAGAGAAAGCGCAGTGGCCTTTGAGGGTGAGACGCAGAGCACAGCCGCTCTTGATTCTGGAGGTCATTAATAATGTAATAACACTAACACTGGTTAACGTGTTTTGACTAAAACAACATTTCAGATGTTTTACAATGTGCTCAGCCTGCTGACTAGTCCATTCAAACACATTTTTATCATCACATGAGCTCTTATGACAAAATCACATGATCTTTTCCCAAAGCACATACTAAAATATTTTCTTATCGAATAAAAAGTTTATCCTACTCAGTTATGCGCATATGTTTTTTATGCGCATTTTCAAAATTATGCACATCCAAAATGCACATAAAAATAGGTGGATAGAAATGTAGCTAATGTCATACTGTAAGCAGATTGTTTACCTCACACCTTGAAAAAAAACAACAACTAGCAATAGCATAGCTTAACATTACTATTTATTTACAACCTTAATACAACTTTACTTTGATTTTGTAGTATTTTATTTTTTTTTTTGCCAAAATAAATATTTAAGTTGAATCAGAGTAATTAAATGAATATTTTACCTTTTTTTCTTTGGGCAGAACGCATATTTTGATTAATATTCAATTAAATTTTTCAGTTTCAACCAAGTCAATTTAGCTGTAACAAATTACACAAGTTTTTTTAAGTTTGTCCAAAGTTTTTTCATCGCATGCTCAGTGCATCTGTCAGACCTTCATAGGGCTTATCAGTGTCATCTCCATCAGTTAGTGCACTGATCTAGACAGGATGTCACCATTCCTCTCTTCAGCACCGCTGAAGGGAGCTCAAACAGTGGACCAGAGCTTTTTCCTCACCGCTGCTGTTTGCGAGTTCATCTTCAGGTCATCCGGGACGCTGCGCTAGTTGTCAGTGTTCAATGGAGGGAGCGAAAAATGATAAATGGATGTTGATAAGTAGATCTCACACCCTGAATGTCATGCGCCTGTATATCAAGCCTTTGTAAGCATAATAATGTCATAACTCCAAAAGCGTTGCCGTTGTCAGCGTGTAATTTTCTTGTTTTGTCTGTGTTTCTCAGGTACATTCGTTCAGAGAGGTCCATCATCTTGGTGAACTTCTGTCTGTCCATACTGGCCTCCAATGTGCTTATACTGGTGGGACAGTCCCAAACGCTCAGTAAGGTAAATGCATTGTATTGTTCTTGTTTGGGATCAGGTTGAAGGAGTGTTCTGGGAATATATATTTAAATTTTTCTAAATTCATTCATGATTATTGCATATTAAATTAATATTATTACACTAATGACAGTTCACTTTGATTATTATTAAATCATCATTTTAATTTTGCTTTGTGGAAATGGCCCCTATATATTAATAATAATAATAATAATAAAAATATTATTTCTATTTATTTTTATCAATTATTTAATAATAAACAATAATATTTTAGTAACTTAAAAACACTTGCATGATTATTATTATTATTATTATTATCATTATTATTATTAATATTATTATTATTATTATTATTATTATTATTATTATTATTATTATTATTATTATTATTATTATTATCATTACTCCATGCATACAGCATTATTTTAAGCTGTTTATCATGCATTTAATAATAATAATAATAATAATAATAAAAATACATTATTTATTTTTATCATTATTAAGCATCTGAAAATGAACAGTTTCACAAGGATTATTATTATAAGTAGTAGCATTATTTCCATGCATACAGTATTATCTAAAGCTGTATACATGCAAAATTAATAATAATAATAATAATTATTATTATTATTATTATTATATTATTATTATTATTATTATTATTATTATTATTATTATTATTATTATCATTATTTCTATTATTATTATTATTATTATTATTATATTTTACAAAATTTTACAATATTTTACTCAAAGGGTACTCTTTCGTGGATATGGCAAATAATGCTAAAAGATAAAAAAACAATCTTACAAAATCAAACTAGACAGAAAGCAAACAAAGCTAAGATAATAACAACCAAATAAATATCTCAAATCATAATAAAGCTACCCGAAAAAAACTAGTGATGATTAAAGAATTGTCAGGGATTCTGCATTCCTAAAAGGGCAGATAATTTAGCTATGTATTTATAAGCATTGAATTCTAATTAAAAACCAATTACACTTATGATTTATCATAATTTCCATACAAATTTAATGCACAATTTGATTACTATAATGTAATAGAGACTTCAGCATGCCACTCATCCTTGCTAAAGAAGTGAGTCAGTGGTGCAGTTAGTTGTTGTTTGCACTCTCTCTCTCTCTCTCTCTCTCTCTCTCTCTCTCTCTCTCTCTCTCTCTCTCTCTCTCTCTCTCTCTCTCTCTCTCTTTCTCCAGTCTGTCAAGACATTGCATAAGTGGACTCTGATAGATTTGGAGAAGGTGCTGGAGGGTCAGCTTTGTGTCAGCTTTGACAGTCACTCAGAGAGAGAGAGTGTAAGATAGACAACAGAGGCTGAAACAAGTGCCGTCATCCAAACTTAACCTGTCGCTCAGAGAATGACTTTTTTATTACTTTTTTACTTTTAAATGATATTTAAAAATATTTTTAAAATAAAGTACTTTATTATTATTATTATTATTATTATTATTATTATTATTATTATCATCATGATCATAATCATCATCATCATCATCATCATTATTATTATTATTACTACTATTTTTATTATTATTATTATTATTATTATTATTATTATTATTATTATTATTATTATTATTATGAAGATATTCCTCATGCAATTGTTACATAAATAATTACTTTTACTCATTTTATACATATTAATGATAATTTATAATTAATAAATTATTATTAATTTTATTGTTGTTGTTGTTGTAGTTATTATTATTATTATTATTATCATTATTATTAAAACTAGCAAAGCATCTCAAAGCTCTATTATCCATACTGAAAATAAAGCAAAAAAAAAAAAAAAAAAAAATATATATATATATATATATATATATATATATATATATATATATATATATATATATATATATATATATATATATATATATAAAATAAAACTAGACAGAAAGCAAACAAAGTGAAGATAATTACAATCAAATACGTATCTGAAATCACGATAAAGCTTCCCCTAAAAAAAGTTGGGATTATTAAAGAATAGTTAGAGATTCTGCATTCCTAGGAAGAAGAAACAAGTGCTGCCACTCAACCATCCAAACTGAAACATCCAAAGGAACCGCTCGCAGGATTCAATCCCCACTTAATTTTTTACTAAATTCTGCATTAGTTTAAAGAAGTGCAGATAAGCTTAATTTCGAAAATCCATGAATGGTGTGAAATCCTTCTTATTTCCTGGGTCATTTGCTAAGCGAGCTAAGCATAAGAACATGCACCTCATTATTGTGTAAAACCGCACTCAGATACGCCGCTTCTCATTTGCGTTCGCCGCTTACTTAAAGTATACTTTAATTCCGTCTTGACATTTTTCCTTAGAAATTGTTCAACCTGAAAGTAAGCCATTTTCTCTTTCAAAGTACCGTCTGTAAGTAAAATAACACCAACAGGATGCGCATATTTTCACACCCCAGTAACACTGAGTCAGTTTCTCCTTGAATGGACTTCCGTTAATGTCCACAGCTCTCACACACTTCTGCTTTTCAATCACGTTCTCCCTCTTGACTTTGGCGAGTAGCTAAAAGCCATTTGCACCTTCTCTTGCTTCGTGTACTACTTGTTCTCACACTTTTTCATCAATTATTAATGTCTGATATGCTCACTATTAAGGTCATTTATTATTATTATTTTTTTTTTTGGAGCAGTTTAAGAAGTTAAAAAATAGTTTGAGGTAACAACTAACTAGACACCAGTCTCATTATATAAATGTAGGACACATTTATTTAATTTTTTATCTTTACTTTTTAGGGGGTTTTCACCTTTTTGAAGTTTATTTATAAACTAATTTTGAGAGGATCACATGCTTATGATTTCTAGCGGCTGGATCCGCATTATCCAACTCTCAATGCATCAATCAAACGTCTCCTAAGTTACTACAAATACCCTGTGTAACGTGCCACCACTTTCTTCGTTTTACAGAGTCCCCCCTTTCACCACTACTCCTCCTTCTTCTAGTTATGTGGCAGGGTGGCCCAGTGCTTAGCACTGTTGCCTCACAGAAAGAACGTCTCTGGTTCCAGGCTTTACCAAACCAGCAGACATTTCTGTGCGGAGTTTGCACTTTCTCCCTGTGCTCACATGGGTTTAACCCGGGTTCCCTGGTGCAACAAAAGTTAATTTACTAATCCAAATCGACACCATAGACATGCTCCCAGTAAGTAGTTATCTCTTAAGAGCAATCACTATCTGTTTACTAATTACTACCGCAGGCGAGTTCTCGAGATCTACCTGAGCTCAAACTCCCCTCTCGCCTTGCAACGGGAGGGAGCCCTAGGCTCGAGTATCATATGAGCTCAGTGCTCTCTTCTGGGACAGCATGCCAAAGTAGCTTATAATTAATCATCAGCTAAGCATAAAATCTTGAAATTAGGATAGGGCAGTGGATATTACACACAGGAAAGTACTGGGAGCAGTGAGAGATGGGAAAGATCAGCAAATTACCTCAAGCCAGGTCTTGTACTCATGTCATTGTATATGTTGGTGCACTTAACCGCTAGGCTGGCGTTGACTGTATGACACTCAAAAATATTCTCTATACCACATGTAAATAATTAGTATTACTATTTTCTATATTATATTAATTATTATTATTATTATTATTATTATTATTATTATTATTATTATTCAGAGAAAGAATTCATATGACTGCTATAATATTATTTTAATAATAATAATAATAATGATGATGATGATGATGATGATGATGATGATGATGATGATGATAATAATTACACTTAAATACATGAATAATAACACCCATAGTAGTTAAAGTAAAGGTAAAGGTGTTTGCCAGCTGTAAAAAAAACTTTTTAAGAGAGTTCACTAATTCAAGAACTTGAAATGACATCATACCAAGTTCATTTCACTTCCGTAGATCTGTTATTCATCTCTTATTTCTCTCTGTTTATGTCTCTATCCTTCTCGTCTCTCTAGGGACTGTGCACTGTGACTGCTGCCTTTTTACACTTCTTCTTTCTGGCCTCTTTCTGCTGGGTTTTGACGGAGGCCTGGCAGTCCTACCTGGCCGTGATTGGCAAGATGAGATCTCGCCTCATTCGAAAGCGTTTCCTGTGCCTCGGCTGGGGTTTGTCATCCACACACACATACACACACTTGTATATATGGTTTATAGGACTTTCCAGGCTGGGCATTTGATCAAACTGAATTTGCAAATGAAATGTGCAAAGATGTGATTATCAAGAAAGCTAGGTCTGATTTGTAGTAAATATACTCAGAAAGCCAGAAGGTGCTCGTGCGGAAGCACACAAACCTGTCCAATTGCACACAAAGAAACTCATGAAATCCCCTGGGGAAAAAAGTGATTGCTGAATAAACAAGAAAATTAACTGAAGATTAACAGAAGATTTAACTATGCCACTGTCATGTCACCCCGCAGCCCAAGACTGGTTGCTCACTGAAGCTAAGCAGTGCTGAGAATGGTCAGTGCCTAGATGGGAAACCACATGAGAAAACTAGGTTGCTATTGATAGGGGTCTTAGTGTGAAGTGAAGGGGACACTATACTGTCAGTGAGTGCCGTCTTTTGGATGCGACTTTAAACTGAGGTCCTGACTCTCTGTAATCATTAAAAATCCCATGACACTTCTTGTGAAAAGAGTAGGGGTGTAACCCTGGTGTCCTGGCCAAATTTCCTCCATTAAACCTCAACATTATGTCCTCCCAAACATCCCCATCGACTGAATTGGCTCTGTCACTGACTCTTCACTACACCTAGCTGGGGTGTTGTGAGCTCACTGGTGCTGTGAGCCTGTGGCTGCCGTCATTTCATCCAAGTGGATTCTGCACACTGGTGGTGGTGTGGAGAGACCCCCTCTCATAATTGTGAAGCGTTTTGGGTGTATGGCCATACACAATAAATGCGCTATATTAATACACATTAAATTAACTGCTTTCATTGATTTAGCATGACTAATACACACACTACTATGGATTTAGCTAACAAAAGGATTTATTTCAAACACCTGACTGTAGTTTTTAGATGAGTTTGAAGTAAAAAAAATATATATATTACTAAAGCCGTAGTTCATTGACAACAATCATAATGGTGTATACAGTTAAAGTTAGAAATATAGCCCCCCCTGTTTATTTTTTTCTCCAATTTCTGTTTAACGGAGAGAAGATTTAATCAGCACATTTCTAAACATAATAGTTTTAATAACTCATTTATAACAACTGATTTATTTTATCTTTGCCATGATGACAGTAAATAAAATTTTACTAGATATTTTAAGAAACTTCTATACAGCTTAATGTGACATTTAAAGGCTTAACTAGATTAATTAGGTCACCTAAGCAAGTTAGGATAATTAGGCAAGTTATTGTATAATGATGGTTTGTTCTGTAGACTATCTAAAAAAAAAATAACTTAAATTGGGATAATAATTTTGACCTTGAAATGGTTCATAAAAAAATTAAAACTGCTTTTATTCTAGCCAAAATAAAACAAATAAGACTTTCTCCAGAAGAAAAAAATATTATCAGACATACTGTGAAAATTTCCTTGCTCTGTTAAACATCTTTTTGGGAAATATTTAAAAAAGAAAAAAAAAGGGGGGGGGGGCTAATAATTCTGACTTTAACTGTATATGGCTAGTACTTTTCAGCAACCGATAAACTTCAGATGAAATTTTTATGTCACTATTTCCAATCTCATAAGGTTCTTTTCACAGCATCGATGTTGTAATAAAATAAAAATATAATGAGTTAAATATACTTAAGCATTCATTAAGTTGTTAAAGCGTAGAAAGAGATGAAAGACTGTTTAAACGTAAGCGCCGTCAGGAGCAGCAGGCTAGCGCAGAAACTCCATTAAAAATAATTTTTAATGCATTGTTTAAATTTAATGCAGTGCTTCTTGTCTGGTCTTAGACCCACTTTATATCGTATCTTTGTCAGGTAGTGAAGATCAATGGTTTTTAAAGAAATCAGTTCTTAAACGTGGCGATCTTGTATGGGATGGCAGTTCATCGGAAGCGCTTGGACTGGCTGACTGAAAATAAAAGTTAATTTGCATATGCCTCATTGATGTCGTAATTTACATATTAAACCAAATACACATTTAAACCAGTTTTTGCATTAATAATTGCCTCGATTAAACCGTCCAACTCTACTTTCCATATTTGTAATGTATTTTATACTTTAAAAAAGCTTTTTATATGGCCTTACCATACACTTAAACCCAACCCTCACAGGAAAACTGTAGCTAATTTAAATGTCAAAACACCCTTTTAAGTATGATTTTTTTAGAATTTTAAATTACAAGGACACCAGAAATGTCTTCATAAACCAGCTTAATAGAGCACAACTAGGTCATACCCATGTCATAATACAATTTTGTGTCCTCATAAACAACATAAGCAAGTAGACACACACCAGTAACACCAGAGGTCAAAAGTAAAGCTATTGTTGTGCTTCAGCCTCACATGAGCCATGCAAAAGTATAGCATGCCGGGTTTTATCAATTCAATCCCATCATATTGTCCAGCATGTCAGTTTGCTTCAGTGGAGCCCAATGACACGCCACAAACATGCCACGGCAGCTCAATGTTACTGCTGTGTGACAAGACGTTAAAGTCTGATTGTTGATAAGAAAGCATTGTGTGTTGTCGTCTTACACAGGCAGGATTTGTAAGGATATTCAAGCTCTCGCTGTTGCTCACACACACATATACTTGGTGTGAAACTTATTGATCTACTATCACTCCCATTAATTCACAGATGCCCTTTGCAGATATTGCAGAATAGCATTTCCACCCACTGGGAGGTGATAGAAGATGGATTTCTTGCTAAGATGTCAGAAAATGAGTTGTAATATATAGAATCTGAAATCTGAAAATTGCTATAGACATGGCCTGGTTGGTCATGTGTATGTTAAGGTGGTTGCATGCAGGGTGCTAATTTTACATTGACGATCAAAGGGGTCAAGTTTTTTCGGTTATATTTGGTATTATGCCTCCGTAAACCAAATTTATAAATTTTATCAAATTACATCTAGTTTCTTAATCATACTTGTTGTTATGTTTTCAGTATTTTGAGGGAATTTGAGTGGTTCTCAATGACATTTGTGATATTAAATAAACGGTGACAGTTTGATTTCCTGCATCTATTAATGGATGACCATGAGAGACTGCACAGATTTTTTATTTTACTGTTTAACTTTCATGTGTGAGCAAGTGTATAATAAAATACAAACTATGCATCAAGTTTTACACACATCTCCAAATGCCTTTTTTAAGAAACATGTTTAGTAAATACTTATACTGTCTGTTGATGCTCTAGATTTACCAGATTCAAACCGATGAATTCATATTTTTGGTGCAAACATGCATTAATTTTTTTAATAAATATTATTTAAGCTACAGATTAGAGTTTCCCAGAGATGGGTTGTGGCTGGAAGGGCATCCGCTGCATAAAAACTTGCTGGATAAGCTGGCAGTTCATTCCGCTGTGGCAACCCCAGATTTATAAAGGGACTAAGCCAACAAGAAAATGAATGAATGATACAGATTAGAGCAAATAATTTCTTAAATTAGAGCAAATAATTTTTTTAAATGGCAGACCCCCTTTAATAGTCAAGAAATAACCATTTCTTTTGTAAGCTAAGACAGAGCTGTGTGCAGGCATAGTGTGTCCACAGTCATATTGGGGTTATATAAAGACAACAAGTCTTTTTTTTTATAATTTCCTGATGTTAAAATAGGATCCAAATCCCTCTCATTTTGAGGCCCACCGCAATGTGACGTAAGAGTTTATGTTTCTCCACCCACCGAATTGATCGACAGCCGCGTATTAACCTGTCCCTGTAGTAATGCGTATAACAACTGGGATTACAAGATCTCTTCAGTTCTCTTTGATCATCAATCATCATCAAATGTGATCAAGAATGAATTTTATAACTTTAAAACGTTTTAAAAACAGTGCACGTTTATAATGAATTAAAACGATTTACTTCAGCATTACTTTATCACCACAGCCACGTATCAGTACAATTATAAAGGAAGACGCTCTAATCCCGATTTGTGGATGTTAAATACAATTTATTTTGCTCATTAACATAACCGATGTATCCTGTCACATTTGCCTTGCAAAAACAGTGCAAAATTAAATGCACAAGCTGTGTGTGATGTCTGTGTGAACTTTGTAACGACATTGTGTGTGACTCATCATTACAGAAAGGCTTGAATTACCTCCACAACAAATACAACAAATAATCATTGGGAAAGTTCTTACTCTAGTATTTCTCACAAACATATGTCAGGTCTGCTTCCTTTATGTCTGTCACCGTGCTGTTTATCTGATGCAGCCGGACTGAGGCACACTCTAAAGGCTGATTTGTACTTCTGCATCTTCCTGCTTTGCATGCAGTCATGCATTTATACTTCTGCGCTGTTTGTGTTGCTCTGCAATAGCACTTCTGAAATGCTAGCTGGCAGTTGGTTATGTTATGTTCCTCTGTATCGAGTTTCTTTCTAGGTGCTTTTGTTTATTTCTGAACACTACCTTAATGTACAAGTAGCTAAATCTCACTCATTCAGAAGCAGTTGTGTAACAACTTTAATCATAAGCTAAACACAAAACAAAAGTTTTCATATGAAGCTCCTTCATGAGATGCAACACTTGCAAACAATCACTCCAACAGGTTTTCATGGCTTTCAGTCCTGCCCACACTGGTCATAGCTACCAAGCCGACCAATCACAGAGCTTGCACTATGTGTCGTTGCAATGTGTAGTTACATTTTTTAAGAGGTGCGTCATTGCATCAGCGTCAGCTACGGCAAGGGGTATGCGACCCTGCGCAAAGGCTGCACCAGACCATATGCGTGCGCCTGACACAGAACTATAAATCAGTCTAACAGGCACGTGGGAAGAACTAGCTTTAAAGGCACAGACAACAAATATAGCTACATTGTGTTCAAGGTAGCAAATTCTGAAAGGTATACTAAATAATCCAATGGGTGTTTTGAGCTGAAAATTTACAGACACATTCTGGAGACACAAAAGACTTATCTAAAATCTTAAAAAATGGGTAAAATAGGTGCCCCTTAAGTTAAACAAATGAATTACG